TATAAATTATTCAATGTAAATCTTCTTCTTTTCATTTTTCAAGATACTCAAAAACTCTGAAAACATCATTTCCTTGTGCTTGTATATTACTTTATAAAGATTTGATTATATACTTTTTTATTGTATTTAACTTTTAACATATAGAAGGTTTGTTAGGAAAATGATACTCTAAGCATTTTTTATTAAAATTTTAATTTTTATTGCATTTTAATTTTTGATAATATTAGATTAAAATTTAATAAATCTTAAAATTTTAATAAAGAATGCTCAGAGCCTCATTTTCCTAGCAAACCTCTATATGTTTGATCGCTAATGCTTTTAAATAGTCATTTACATATATTCATTTAATATCTTTAATATAGATTTTGTAAAAACTTTAGAAGCTTCAAAATGATATTGTTATACAAAAAATCATTAGGATGATCTTCCTAATATAGAATCCTTAGAAACTATGTTAACCTTGTTAACCTCGTTTATGTCATCTACGTCGTTTATTTAGTTAACTTAGTTTATTTATTTAATTTATTTTCTTTAGTTTATTTATTTAACTTAGTTTATTAATTATATTTAGTTTATTTATTTTACATTGTTAACAATTATATATATTTTATTTTATATAAATATAAGTTGAGAATCCTTGAAGATTCAGAGAGAACACACAGAGTAAAGACTTATAGGAATAGTCTAGATTAGTTTAGTTTGATTATTTAGAACATTGTACAGTACAGAAGCGCTGATGTTTGAGGCAGTACTCATTTGTTAGTGTATATCAAATAAACTACTGATACCTATATTTTACTTAATCTCAACTACAAATTAAACCTTCTGCTTACCACATATATTATCTGTCCGCTTATAACATTTAAGCAACATAAAGAACTGACCATAACAATATGCAAAAACATCCAAATCATGTCTGAAATATCTATTAAAAAATGTGGTAATTGAAATCATATCATTTGAATTATTCATAACTAGTCAAGAGAGATTAACATGTCATTTACAATTCGTCCTATATAATTTTGATGTTTTGTTTGATTTTTATTACAAACTCCTTCACAATGATATACAATTATCTGTTTTTCAGTTAGATTTTACTTTTTTAAACCTTCCTTTATGAACAAAAAAGCCTTGTTGATGAGCCTAAAGTTTAATTTGTCTAAAAGCAGTCTTCTAAGTAGAAAAAGATAAATCAGCTTCTAATAACAAAGGTGAAATATTCATATTATAATAAGAAAAGTCATTATTTTCATTTTCTTAGATTCATCACTATTATCTGAAACACTTTTAATAAAATCATTAGGAAAATTTTCATAATTTGAGTTATCATTTGAAATTAATTCTGAATCACTCATTTTAATAGTATTTATGATAATAATAATAAAGTAAAGGTAAAGAGAAGAGGTGAAAAAAGAAAAGAAAGTAAGAGATATGAGAAAATTGATTAAAGGATTGATGTACTTAAAAGTCTGATTAATTATTCATGTGATCATATTGATTACACATCAAATAACTATACATTGGTGTATATTACACATCCATTTAAAATTATATTTAATAAATTTAAAAACCATGCATATAAAAAAAATATGCATGAATACGTATGCGTAAAATACAAATTTTTATAAAATGATTGCAGATACAAATTTTTTACTTTAGATAGCTGCAATTTTACATTCGTAACAATAAAAACGATCGTCAAAATAAATATAAAAATAAATTTATTATTAATTAATATTAATATAAAAAAAATAGTTAAATTAAATGATATTTTTAAATTCATCTATTTTGTAATCTTTTGAAGGTTTTAATAGAATAAATACATAGAGTAAATATAATCAATCGACTTCTCAAATCCATTTAAAATTACAAATAGATTTGTATTATTTTTATATTTAAAGTAAAATTAACTTTATTAAAATAATTTTTTTTCATTTCATTATAACTTACCAAATTAACTCAATTTTACTTTTGATAACGAATATGAAATGACACTAGAAATAAACATTACCTACTAACTCTAACATTTTCTTACCTCAAATCACTTTAGTTCAAATTCCACTAAATATTCTTAAACTTAAATTACAATAATCATACATTAGAAGTCTTCAATCACACTATAAAAACTTTATGACAGATTCTAAAATAACATCTTAAAACAATATCTTCAAATTACCTGTATCTACTCACATTAAAGATAAGAAACAAAACTCAAAAAAGGCAATTAATAAATAGCCAAAATTATATTAAAACATAATGAGGGATACGACAAAATCTCAAGACCCAAAATTAGTTGAAACTATATTAAAAACATAGTAAGGAATATGACGAAATTATTTTGAGAATTTTTTGGCTGGCATCTTTAACTCATATATCTAGAAAAGGCTTTATAGATCTTTTATAATCTATTAATTGTCTATTTACAATAAAACATATTTCGAACATTACCTTATTATTTAACTCCAATTAGTGATATCTAACTAAACTCTTTTTTAAAAAATTATAGTTTTGTCAAAAGTTTCGTCTTTTTAATACTTTTATATAAATAAATATAAAATTATTATATTTTTTAATGTATTTTAATTTAAGAAATTTAGATCAAGTTAAATAAAATTTCAGCAATTAAGTAAAATAATTTTTTTATTAATAAAAATTTAGTTTTGTCATTTCAGTTTCATCAATTTTATTATATTAAAAAAGGTAATTTCGTCAGGTATCACTAACTTCAATAATAATCACATTTTTAAATTAAGAATACCTACATGTAAATTATGTAAGAACTATGATCTTTATGTTTTCTTATTTTTCTTCTATATCACAAGAAATCCTCTTGTTCCTTTTGCATAAGAGAAAGTATCTCTTTTAGTTTATTTATATTATTTATTAGAAAGGATTTCAAATAGTAACCCCTACTCAGAATATAAATGCTTGACTAGATTGATGAATTACTTTTATAAAATTAAAACATATACACTTTATTTTAAAATTCTAGATGCATTTTTAGATTATTTAAATAATATCAATCAATTAATTATTATAAGCCACCTGGATGATAATCTGATCTATAATGAAATTTTAAGATAGTTTACAGCTTAGTTGGTAAATAATAACTAATATTTATGCTGATATATTAACATCATATGATGATTAAGAAACTAATTATTTATAAAAACAATACATTTTTCTACTGATCTCAATATCTCAACTGTAAACACTTGAAATATTATAATTTTAACAAACTTTTCAGATAAAATTTACAATGAAAATTTCTATTACTCTAGGCTGATAGTAAAATTTATTCGAAAGAATGATATGGGAGGCGATCAGTAGAAAAGGGGAAAATCCAAATTTTAGTCAAAATTTATATTATTAGACCACTTGGCTGATCTCGGTCATGTGTACAAAATTAGCTTAATAATTAAAATTAACCAAAATTTTGGATTTCCCCCTTTTTTACTGACCACCTCCCATATATTACATATATCTATTTCTATATATGATTCTAATTTATAACTATTAATATTTTCTGATTTATTTACATATAGAAAATTTACTTTTATAATATGCTAAATCAATCAGACATCACAGATAATAACATAAGAAAAGAGACCTATGAAAAATATATTAGGCAATGATTAATAAAATATGATTCACAATAAAGACTTCATTATTACTAGCCTTCTTGATCATATCTGCAATTAGATAAACTGAGATATCATCAAAATATTCAATATCTTCTAAAACAAAATAATATCAATTTTAATATCAACAAGTTTTCTATATAAAAGAGTTAATTACTCTGATTTAATGAATATAATAAATACCAAAGATTAAATGAATCTAAAATGATTCTTCTGCTCATCTTTATACACATAGTGGATACTTATTTTTATCAAAAGCAACATAATGCTGAAAAAATCCAATTTATCATCATTATTCATAATCTTAATCATGGCTAAAGGTTATTGGATTTACCTTCATAATATACTTATTAATATAACCAACAATGATCTCTTACCATAAACTATTTCATGCATAAGTTCCAATTTCTAAAAAAGGAATTATACAAAAAATCCAATTTCATAGAATTTGGTAACATAACAAATTTCTTTGATTGAGTTGAATTTCAAAATTGAGGTGCAACTCACATTTACAGTTGTTTCTGAACTACTAATTCTATTGAGTATATGATTTCTAATGATGTAATCATAACTGATCAGATATATTATGAGTTTAAATTATACACAGCTATAATAGCTAATCAGATTCATATATGTAATATAAAATATCAAGGCCTGACTATACCAGGTCATACATTTAAGAAAGGCTTTCATGTCTATATAGTCAAATAACTCATTATGATCATACGACGAATTTGCGATTGATACTGGGAAAAAAGAACAAAATCGCTAGTTAATAAACATTAATTTCTTAAATAATCTTTATTTGTTTCTCAAAAACTCAAGATTCAAATTAAATAAAAATTTAGTATATTATTAATATAATGTCATTCATTTAAAATAAATTGTATTTAAATTCTTAACCAAAATTTCTAATTAACTTCATATCATATCGTATTTCTCAACAACCACTGATTAAAACTAAACGAAAATTATATATATAGTAGGTTGATATCGTATCTATAAAATATAGAAATTTCGATCAATTTGAATAAGTGGAATTTGAGAAATTCAATGTACAAAATAGTGTTCGAAAACTTTTGATAACCCTATGTATAATGGACACGTGTACAATTGAATTAGTCAGATATCATATGATCGTTAAAAAAGCAATTTTATTGGTTACACGTGAAAAATTGAAACAAGTCAACGTGTATGTTTGGTTTTAATTTTTCAAAAAATTTACAAACTAGAGTTTTTGATAAGTGTAGATATTATGTGCATTTGAAATTTATATATATATATATATAGGCTAATAAAGATCACATAAATTCGTGACAATACTGTGTGATCTAAATTTTTATCTTTTATAATATCCCCTCATTCGGACTTATAGTCATGGATAGCATGGAGAAGAGATACTTCAAGTTCTGAGGAATATTCTTCAGTTCCCTGCAAGTTGAGAGTATCAATACTTTGTGATCTAGATCTAACTGGAGATTTTCCTGCTTTCTTTTCCAGTAACCATTTCTTAGCCTCATATTCTTGTTTTTTAATATAATCATCTGCTGGACTTGGGATTGCTAACATCATTTGTTTTACAAGACTGTGAATTAAACTGAGGAGATGCTCGGCACAAAATATAAGTGCCATTACGACCATTAATGAAGCAGATGAGAACGCGTTTGAGGTCGGATGATATAGATAAAGCAAGGATGGATTTGTTATTGCTGCTAGCCAAATGAGTAAATTCTGGGGAAATGTTAATAATTTAAGATAAACATAAGAATTTTTAAATAAGAGCAATTACAAAAAGTTACCAAGTTTTCCAACCATGGACCAATGCTATCAGCACGACATGGAATGGGTCGTCGAGTATGTACACACAATTTAATGGCATCGGAACGTAATTCTACCCAATTATTGATAAGTGCCGCTACAGGTGTTAATGGCCATATGACTGAAAATAAACTTACATAGCCAAACTAAAATTTTCAAATTAATTAATATATTATATATTCATATAAAGTTATATAAAATAAATACCTGTGTGATCATTTCAGAATAATCCTCATATATATCATACACGGGCAATTTCGCTTCTTTTCTAACTCTCTTCAAAAATGTAGATTCATCTTCATTTCTTGCTCCATCTTTGGTAGTATTTCGTTGAATTTTCTTAACCCCAACCGCTCCGGCTCGAAGTAAGTATGGTAATCCAATTTCCATGAAAAGGCTCATAATTTGAGCGGTCAAAACAAAATATTTCAATTCATTCATTAATCTTTCTGGTCCAACATGCTTAATTTTAAGCGTTAATCCGAAGATTTCAAAGAAACTCTGGAAGTGTTGCCCAATTTCATCATTAAAGGGAATATAAATCCAACCAATAAAGAATATTGAAAGATAGCCTATGAGGAAATTTGATATGAAAATCTTTTGAGTGAGGTTAAATTCATAATATGACTCTGTCTCATAATTCTCATATTCATTGAGACGTCGTGCAATCTTTGCGTAAAACATGTTAAGGGTAGGAACTAGGGCACAATAAGCTACAGTCGGTAGATATATCTGTAATTAATAAAAGATCGTTGAAATTTTAATTAGCATTGATTATTATTGCAATGAAAAATAATTTTAAAAAATTAAAAGAACGATACGTACCAACTGTTCTCTGAATGGCCCATCATAATACTCGGACATTAAAACTTCAAATAAATAATAGAAAAGCAACGCCACCGATAATGTTAAACTGAACATAATAATTATAGGAGCCGCGACAGCTCTTCGTAACCATCTTTTCCATGGAGAAAAATACGGTTTCATTTCGCCAGTTACGGGATCGGAAACGAAACGTTCTTCTTGGAAAGTTGGTCGACGACGTTCAACCCGAGAGTAGTTATGAACCCCCCATAAAATAGCAAATTCATACTCCTTTCGTCGCCAAAATTCTGTGAATATTACGGACCACAGAACGATAAATACTCCAAAGAAGATGGAATATTCGGATAAAAATAACCAAGTAAATATTCCGACAACTGATGGCGCGATAAGCCAAACACAATAATATTGAAGAAAAGCGAAATAATATGCGATCTATAAATGTGAAAAGAAAAAATTCTACTAATGACCAAGAATTAATAAAATGTTTTTAATAATGTGATTGCATACCTTTTCTCCAAAATGATTTCTCAATCTGAATAGGTCTTCTTTTTCGATTATCCATTTAGTTGACCAAGTCTTTATCCAGTCCTAATGAATGCAACAAAAGATAAATAAAATGCAAAAGATATATGAATTATTTAAAATAATTGATACAATCAAGACAAACCTCATTATATTCGTCATCATGAAGAGGTAATATACTTTCGACCAAATCAAAATCACCAAGTCCAGGATTAATCCCAGCACCTCCTTCTTGAGTAGGATTCGTTATAATTTCGTATATTAGGCGTAATCGTTCAGAATCTGTTAAAGGTTCGTTACTTTCCTCCTCATCATCCTGAATGTCTCTTTTCCGAACACCCGCAAACCAGTCGTGAATTCTATTAATCAATATAATAAAAAATTTAGAATTCAATCTAACAAATTTAACATAAGCGGTTGGCAAAGTTTATTTATTGAGAATTATACCTCGACATTTCGACCTCTCTTTTTAACCTCTGTGATTCACATATAACGAACACAAAAATAAAATTTTCAGAACCTCTGCGAATTTCAGCTCGAAGACCAGCCTGTTGCAACCTTGTCAAGACAGTTCTGCATGTTTTTTCGAGTTTTTTATTATGAACCGCCTTGTCAGCTGGCGTAAAATTCTTTAACGAAACGGTTTTAATGAGTATTATGTAATCAGCAAAGATATCTTTGCTTTCTTTCTGACGAATTTGATGAAACAGCAAATTGCCTGTTTCTTTTGTTAAAGATTCTTGTATTGCATCGACTTCGGGCATTAATAATAATTTTTTTTTTTTTTTTACAAAATTCAAAATTTGTAGAAAAATAATTTTTTGGTCGACAACTATTAAGCAAAAATATAAAACTTTAAAAAGTATGACGCGAATTTTACACGTAGGGATGGGAAATTCACGGTTAATTAAAATTTGGTTAATTAACCGGTTAATTAACCATATTAAAATTGGTTTAACCATTTTGGTTAATTAACGCCCATTCCTATTTACACTCATAGGAGGACTTTCACGTGATTGGCCGATCGATTTCAATTGAATTTATACAGTTTAAAGTACTTTTTAAGATT